TTTCTTTTTTCAGAAACGCTACTATGTGTTTTTCTGTACTTAGGTAACAATGCTATTCTTTGCGTTTCTGTTCTTATCTTGTAAACACGGTTATGTGTTTTCTCTATGTTGCCTGATATCATTGTTCTGTATTCTTCTCAACTTACTTCAGAAACAGTGCTATGTGTTTTTTGTACTTAGTTCACAATGCTGTTCTTTGTGTTTCTGTTCTTACCATGGAAAACATCTTTATGCACTCTTCTCTACTATGCTAGATATCACTTTTCTGTTTTCTTCTGAACTCAGTTCAGAAACACACCTATGTGTTTTTCTGTACTTATTTCACATCATTGTTATTTGTGTTTCTGTTTTTACCATGAAAACATCCTTATGCCCTCTTGTGTATTTTGCTAGATATCACTTTTCTGTTTTCTATTCAACATAGTTCAGAAACACTGCTATGTGTTTTTCTGTACTTAGTTTACACAGCTGTTCTTTGCGTTTTTGTTCTTACCTTGAAAACATGTTTCTGCACTCTACTATGCTAGATATCGCTTTTATTTTTTCTTCTGAACTCAGTTCAGAAACACTGCTATGTGTTCTTCTGTACTGAGTTCACAATGCTGTTCTTTGTGTTTCTGTTCTTACACTGGAAACATGTCTATCCACTCTTGTGTACTTGATGCCTGATATCATTGTTCTTTATTCTTCTTAACTTAGTTCAGAAACACTGCTATGTGTTTTCATGTACTTAGTTCACAATACTGTTCTTTCCTTTTCTGTTCTTATCTTGGAAACACGTTCATGTGGTCTTGTGTACTTTGCTAGATATCAATTTCCTTTTTTCTTCTGAACTCAATTCAGAAACACTGCTATGTGTTTTTCTGTACTTGGTTCACAAAGCTGTTCTTTGGAAACATGTTCATGTGGTCTTGTGTACTTTGCTAGATATCACTTTTCTTTCTTCTTCTGAACTCAGTTCAGAAACACTACTATATGTTTTTCTGTACTTAGGTAATAATGCTATTCTTTGCGTTTCTGTTCTTATATTGTAAACATGTTTATGTGTTTTCTCTATGTTGCCTGATATCATTTTTCTGTATTCTTCTCAACTTACTTCAGAAACAGTGCTATGTGTTTTTCTGTACTTAGTTCACATCACTGTTCTTTGCGTTTCTTTTCTTACCTTGGAAACACGTTTATGTGCTTTTCTCTATGTTGTCTAATATCATTCTGCTGTATTCTCATCTTAATTCAGAAACAATACTGTGTTAGTGCTAGTGTTAGTGTTAGTGATAGTGATAGGGTTAGGATAAGGGCTAGGGTAGTACTAGGGTTAGTGTTAGGGTAAAGGTTAGGGTTATGGTTGTGCTAGGATTGGGGTTATGGTTAGTGTTAGGGTTAGGGTTTTCCTAGGGTTAGGGTTAGGGTTGTGCTAGGGGTTAAGGTTAGGGTGAGGGTGAGGGTTGTGCTACTGTTAGAGTTAGGGTTAAGGCTAGGGCTAGGGTTAGGGTTGTGCTATGGTTATTGTTAGAGTTAGGGTTTTGCTAGGATTAGGGTTAGGGTTGTGCTAGGGTTAGTGTTAGGATTAAGGTTGTACTACGGTTAGGGTTAGGATTAGCATTAGGTTTAGGATTATGGTTTTGCTAGGGTGAGGGTTAGGGGTGTGCTAGCATTAGGGTTTTGCTAGGGTTAGGGTTAGTGTTGTGCTACAGTTAGGGTTAGAGTTAGGTTTAGGGTTAGGGTTAGGGTTGTGCTACAGATAAGGTTAGGGTTAGGTTACAGTTAGGATAGGTTTGTGCTAGGGTGAGGGTTAGTGTTGTACTACTGTTAGGGTTAGGGTTAGGGTTAAAGTTCGGCTTAAGGTTAGGGCTACGATTAGGGCTAGTTCTTGGAATAGGGCCATGGCTATGGTTAGGGTTTAGGCTAGGGCTAGGCCTAGGGACATGGCTAGGCCTAGGGTTTGAACTAAGGCTAGGGTTAGGATTAGGAGCAGGTCCAGTTCTTTTGTTATGGTTAGTGGTAGGTTTAGTGTTACTGCTAGGGATAGGGTTTGGGCTTGGGTTAGGGCTAGGGTTAGGGTTAGGGCTAAGGTTCAGTTTAGGGTTAGGGTTAGGGTTAGGGCTAGGGCTAGGGTTAGGGCTAGGGCTAGGGTTAGGATGAGGGTGAAGGTGAGGGTTAGGTTTAGAGCTATGTCTAGGGCTAGGGCTATGGTTATGGCCAGAGCTAGGGCTAGAGCTAGGAATACGGCTAGGGTAAGGGTTAGGTTTAGCCATAGGTTATGGCTATGGCTATGGCTAGGGATAGTGCTAGGGCCAGGGTTAGGGTTAGGATAAGGGTTACGTTTAGATCTAAGGCTAGTTCTAGGGGTAGAACTAGGGCTAGGGCTAGGGTTAGGGCTAAGGCTAAGGTTAGGATTAGGGTTAGGACTAGGGCTAGGTTTGGGCTAGAGCCAGGGTTAGGGTTAGGGTTTAGGTTAGAGTTAATCCTAGGGCTTGGGCATAGGCTAAGGCTAGGGTTAGGTTTAGGGTTATGGTTAGGGCTTGGTCTATGGCTACTGCTAAGTTTAGGCTAGAGCTAGGGTTAGGGTTACGGTTAGGTCTAGGGCTAAGGCTAGGGCTAGAGCTAAGGTTAGGGTTAGGGTTAAGGTTAGGGCCAGGTCCACCACCATGGTTAGAATCATTGTTAGGGCTAAGGCTAGGTTTAGGGTAAGGGTTATGATTAGGGTTAGGTTTCTGGATAGGTTTAGGGTTCCAGTTTGAGTCAGGGTTAGGCTTAATGTTAGGTTTCATGTTAGGATTTGGGTTAGTGTTAGGGTTAGTGTAAGGGTTAGGGTTCGGGTTAGGGTTAAGGTTAGGGTTAGAGTTATGTTTCCAATTAGTGTTAGAGTTAGTTTTAGGGTTAGGGTTAGGGTTAGGGTTGAGATTTAGGTTAGGGTTAGGGTTTGGATTAGGTTTAGCCTTAGGGTTTGGTTTAGGGTTAGGTTTAATGTTAGTGTTACAGTTAAGAGTTTGGGTTCCAATTAGGGTTAGGGTTAAGGTTAGAGTTCAGGTTTGGGTTCAGGTTTGGTTCAGGTTAGAGTTAGGGTTCAGGTTCCAGTTAGGGTTAGGGTTAAGTTATCATTAGTGTTAGGGTTAGTGTTAGGGTTCAGTTTCAGGTTAGGGAGGGGGTGATAGTTAGGGTTAGCATCAGGGTTAAGGTTTGGGTTAGGTTAAGGGTAACAGTTATGTTAGGGTTAAGGTTAGGTTTAGTGTCAGGGTTATGGTTAGGGTTAGGGTTTGTGTTTTGGTTCAGAGTTAGGGTTAGTGTTAGGGTTAGGGTGAGGGTTGGTTTAGGGTTAGGGTTAGAGTTCAGGGTCGGTTTGGGTTGGGTTTAGGGTGTGGTTAGGGTTCGGGTTCATCTTAGAGTTAGTGTTTGGGTTAGGATTAGTGTTAGGGTTAGGATTATGTTAAGTTTAGGGTTAGGATTATGAGCTCAGAAACACTCCTCTGTATTCTTCTCCACTTAGCCCAGACACATTGCTCTGTGCTCTTCTCTATGTAGCTCGGAACCACTGCTCTGTGCTCTTATCCACTTAGCTCCTTAACACTGCTCTGTCCTCTTCTCCACTTATCCTGGTCACACTCCCCTGTGCTCTTCTCTACATATCTTAGAAGCACTGCTCTATGCTCTTCTCTACTTAGTCCAGACCCACAGTTCTGTTCTCTTGTCTACTTAGCTTGGGACCACAGCTCTGTGCTCTTCTCTACTTAGTTCAGTGATATATTCTACTTAGCTCAGAAACACTGCTCTGTGCTCTTCTCTACCTAACTCAGTAACACTGCTCTGTGCTATTCTCCACTTAGCTGGGTAACACTGCTCTGTGCTTTTGTCTACTTAGCTCAGAAACACTCCTCTGTGCTCTTCTCTACTTATCTCAGAAACACTGCTCTGTTGTTCTCCTCTCTACTTGGAAACACTGCTCTGTGCTCCTCTCTACTCTGCTTGGAATCACTCCTCTGTGCTCTATTCTGCTTAGCCAGAAACAGTGTTCTGTGTTCTTCTCCACTTCTCTTGGAAACACTGCTCTGTGTTCTTCTCTACTTAGCTCTGAATCACTGGCACTGTCCTGATCATTGGTCAATGTTGTGTAAACACTGCTCCCTAATTATCTGATTGGTTAATACAGAAGCTGGGGAACCTATAGCTGGGTAAGAGAGGACTGGCATCAGAATTTCTATCTCCTGTTGAAGAACATGAGGTAGAAAAGAAAGAAAAGGGAGAGAAAGTTCATGACCATGAGGACTGACCTGATGGATCAGAAGCAATCCAGAGGGGACCAACATGCCAAATAATTTGAGGTGTGTGGTGGGAAACAGCAAGACTAGTATAAAGGGTTAGAATAGAACCATCATCTGTCCAGCTCTAGTGCTCTGAGGATTGTTGTATTAATCTATAGGTCTCTGTCTCATTTGGGAGCTATCTTTGCATGTGTGTATGTTGGGTTAGAATAGCTGAGAATCTGCCCAGCTATAGTACCTAGGCTTTTATAAATAATAATCTCCATGCCTTTCTTATCTGCTGGTGGGTCCAGAGACAGTCTTGCTGTGAGCATGTTTGTGTGTGGAGTGTGCACTTGTGTGTTCATGACTGAGTGCATCCCTCTCTCAGGCTGAGGATGAAGAAAACTCTAGAACATTCCACTGTCTGGCCAGCTGGTGGTGGCACCTTTAATTCCACCAGAGGCAGGTGAATCTCCATGTTCGAGGCCAGCCTGGTCTATAGAGTGAGTTCCCAGACAGACAGGGCTATACAGAGAAACCCTGTTTCAGCAACAAAAGAAAACATTCCCCAATCTCAACAGGTCTGATCATCCTGGGAAAGCAAGAATGGAGAGAGGGAAGGAAGGAGAGAAGGAGGGACGAAAGGAGTAAGAGAGAGAGAGACAGACAGACAGAGAGACAGAGACAGAAGCAGTGCTTCTTGACCATCATCTCAATCCTCACGATACTGACACAGGAGGATCACGAATTGGAGGCCAGTTTGGATTGTCACTTTTTTATTGAGTTACAAGTTGCCATTACGGGGATTTGTGGCTCTGGCCCCTCCCTCCTTGGGTGCTCAGTTCCCCATCCCAAGCAATGAGGGCGGGGTAGCAGGGTCTACCTGGACCGGATAGGAGCCCCTCCCCAGTGTTCGCCTTGGAGCTCCCCAGTGGGCGCAGAGTGGAGCACAGCGGAGAAGACGGAGCCGGATGGCAGGCCGCCTACTGCAGTTTCAGGGACTCGGGGAGGCGGGGAGCGGGCTCTGGACAAAGTCATGCCCTATACTCTCTGTGGAGAGGACTCAGTGGCTGCCCTGGGCACTGAGTCCCCAACGCTGGCTGTGTCTGGCCCGCCTTGGGGGCGTGGTCTACCCAGGCCCCGCCCATCTAGCATATGCTGAGTCTAAGGGAGCCTCAACTACTTGGAATCCAGGAATCCAGGAGGCTGGCTGTCGCAGCTCACTTCTCCTCCTCCTCCGCTGGAGCCGGCTCCGGCTGCAGCGGCTCTGGCTGCAGCTTCGGTTCGGCCTCGGGTTCTGGCTCCCACAGCAGGAACTCGTGCAGCAGGGTGTTGACAGTCTCAGGACACTCCAGCATCACCATATGGCTGCCTTCCTCGATGAGCTTGAGAAAGGCCAGCAGCAAGATCTGCGGGCACACCAGGAGGTCCCTTTTGCTGTCCACCCTCCAGCCCCACGCAGGAGGATAGCCAGGATGGCCCATCACCCTGCTGCTGCCTCACCAGGTATTCCTTCCCTCAGTCAACACCTACTAAGCGCCTAGAGTATACCCGGAGTAGACCTCTCAACCTTGCCAGTGCTGACACTTGGTCGTAGCTATGGAGATATAGTCTGTTGTAGGGTGCTGGGCAGCTTCTTTGCACACCCCCAGGGGGAGATGCCCGGGAAGCTCTGCCCTCCTGCTCTGCTCACAATCTTTCTAGACGTCTCTACATGTCCCCTGTGGGACAAGTCCACCCTTGGTGAGAGTCCTCCTTCAATCCCTTACCCCTACTCACCCTGAGCAGCCTTACGAACAGCAGGCCCTCTGCTCTATGAATGCCCACACCCCCATCCCTAGTTAGGGACCTACTCCTTGGCCTCTCCTGCAACCCAGCTTCTGTGAAATCTCCTGAGAGCAGCCCTGTGAGCGGCGGCCAGGGCAGCCCTGCTCTCTACAGTCTCCTTTTGCATGGCTGATTTCCTTGGGGATCAGCAGGGGCCTCCTGTAGAGACCACAGCCGCCTATGACCACTTCCATGCAGGAGTCACACCCACTCCAAAACCTTGCCCACCCAGGGCCATGCCCATCCAGCATCCATACCGGCACAGCTGTCTAGAGGGCACACTCTGGCCTTCCAAAGGCCACAGATGTCTTAACATCTGTGGAAGCCAATGGAAGCCACACCCACTCAGAAACCATACCTCTGTTAAGGCCTGCCACCCAGAGGCCTCGACCTCCCAGAGCTTTCAGAAAGCCACACTCATCTGGAAAGTCCACCCCCACTCGCCTCCACCCCCACCTCCACCGCACCTTTCTGGAAAGTCAGGCCAAGCCTACTCATAATCCACCCCATCCGTGAGTCTGGGGATCACACACCCCTCCTAAGCCGTGGTCAGGCCACGCCCAGGGGTGGACCACGTCCCAGGCTCTGTTGAGGGAGGAGGGCAGGACCGTCATGTTCTTGGTGCTGAGGTCCTACCTCAGCCATGCGTTGGTCCTCCTCCACCGGCACAAACTTGTCGTGCATGCCATGGACCAGCAGCACAGGCACCGTCAGCTCCGCGTGGTAAACCTCGTCACCTTCAGGCCAATACTGGCCGCTCATCATGGCCCGCAGCACGAAGGAGGACACATTGAACGCGTTGCCCTCCTTTAGCAGCTGCTTTTCTTTGGCCCCTTGACGGGCAAAGCCAGCCCTAGGAATGCAAAGACATCCTTCGAGCACGACCACGAGGGGCCAAAGCCCAGAGACAGCCCTACAGATCAGAGACCCGCTGCCACCCCTCCCCTGCCCAGACCCCAGGGGTGGGGCTCTCACTTGAGGAAACTCCAGGCCAGACAGGGCGACAGGCAGTGCAGGACACACGTAGGCATGGTGAAGATGGAGCAGAGGCTGGGCTCCAGCGCTGTGGGGCCTCCACCATTGATCATGACCACTTTGTGCACAAGATCCGGGTACTCATGGGCCAGGAAGGTACAGAAGGAGACGCTGGGACAAGAACGGGAGAGCCGAAGTCAGAAGGGTGCTGATAGCACTTCGCTCCCTCACTAGGCAGGCCCTCTGGGACCGCCTCCCTGCCTGCACACGCAATTGGCTGACAGATGTGCTCTTCTCCACACCCAGCTATGCAGTGCTGGGGATGGAGGCCAGGGCTCTCTGCATGCTGGGCACATGCACCATCTGCTGAGCTGCAGGCTTGGCCCTTTGGTTCTGAGGCAAGACCTCAGCAAAGGCAAGAGGGCCTCTATGTAGCAGGGCTCTCCTGCTCCCTCAGGTGCACCCTCTGTAAGCTTTGGAGTACTCCTTGTTTGAGACATGGTCTCACTCTGTTGCTTTGATTGCCTTGGGAATTACTGTGTACACCAAGCTGACCTAGAACTCCCAGATGGGCACCACCTCCCAGGGACACTGAGTTTCAGGAGGCCACACCCTTCAAACAGTACTTAGGAGAGTGTGATTAGCCTTTCTGGTTGCAGCTGGATTCTGGAATCCCCCTGTGGTTCTACACTAGGGGTGCTTCCCGCCCAGCATCTGAAGACAGGATGGTCTCGGGCGGATGTGGGGGCGGGAGCTCACCTCTACTACCCTTGCAGGAGGGAGCACCAAGTAACTTGCAGAGAACTATCTAGCCCCTCCCCCTTTCTGAAACTGCCTTACTGTATAGCCCAGGCTATGGACTTCATAGCAATCCTCCTGCCCCAGTCCCTGGATATACAGATATGTCCCACCCCATGTGGCTTTTATTTTTGTTAATGTTAAGACATCAAGTCTCTGTTGCCCAAGCTGAACTCGACCTCCCAGGGTCAAACTGACCTTGAACCCCTGGGGTCAAGTGCTCACCTACATCACTATGTCAGGCTGGTCAATAGCTTGAAGGCTCCGGATAGAAGGGACTGGAGGCAGGAATGGGCCCGGCCACTAGACCACAGCACACGCACACGCACACGCACACGCACACACACACACACACACACACACAAGAATATGTAATGCTGTCCCACAGTAACCCATATGTGTGGGCAAGTATTACATGTTTGTTAAAAATACACATTTTTGAGACAGGCTGCATATACCTCAGAACAGGCTTGAGTCCATAGCAATGAATGGTCCTGCAGGCTCCAAAATGCTGACATTATAGGCATGACTCACTATGCCCAGCTTTAAAATATTTTTAGGCCGAACAGAACTTGGAAGCATAGGCAGACTATGAGTTTGAGGCCAGCCTGGTCTACATGGTGAGTTCCAGAACAGCCAGGGCTATGTATAATGACCCTGTCTCAAAAATAAAAACAAAAGCAAAAATACTTTTTAAATGTTTAGGGATATGAACATGTCCTCTTTACTGATGGCAGGTGGAGTCTGGTGCCTGGCTTCCAACACTATTTATTTATTTATGAGACAAAATCTTACCTGTAGCCCTCGCTGGTCTTGAATTCACGGCAATCCTCCTGCCTTGGTCTCAGAAGTTCTGGGGTAAGCACCATGCCCAGCCTCTTTGCAGTTTTTTGGAACAGGTTTTTACTATGTATATGTGGCCCTGGGCTGGAAATGGCTTTGCAGCCAAGGCTGGCCTCAAGTTGCAAGCTGCCCTTTAGCGTCAGCCTCCTGCCTGTGAGGACGACACACATCTGCCACCGCACTTTCTTTGCTAGGCCAGAGCTTCAGTGTCAAGCTTCGGACAGCCCCTCGCTTCTACATAGGGCGGCACTCTCTGAGCCACTCTTCTAGCCCAATCACATTTTGCAAAGTAGGAAGTTGGGTGGGGTGGCATGGAAGCCTTTTATTCTAATCCTTGGAATAAGAATTAGAATAAGGATTCTAATGGAATAAGAATAGCCTTAGCTACCTGGATTTTGAGGCTAGCCTGGACTACAGGAGGCCGTGTCTCAACCTACCCCCAAGGGGAAGGAAATGGTTCTTGGGCAGCCCACTCCTGCTCTTACCCGTAAGAATGGCCAATGAGCACGTTGCGCTTCTTGGCATAGCGCGTGAAGATGGCCCGCATATCCTCTGCCAGTGCATAAAAGGTGTAGGCAGCTGCCACCTGCGGTGCAGAGCTGGCTCCGTGCCCTGCCAGGTCAGGAGCCACCACCTCATAGCCCAGTCGCACAAAAAAGTCCAACTGCGCCTTCCAGATGGCCAGAGAGCCTCCCACACCATGGATGAAGAACAGCACCACATCAGCCTGCGCACCCTTGCAGCTGGTGATGCGCTGCTCGCAGTCGATGTGGATGGTCCTCTTAGGACGCCGGGGGCGTCGCCGCCGCCCGCTGCCGGGGGTGGCCCGGGCATCATCCCCTGCGGGCTCGGCCAGCTCCACCTCGAGCGCAGCGGGTGGGTCCCCGGAGCCGCTGCGGCCTTGCAGGTCAGCGCGAGCTGCTCGGCCCAGGTTTTCCACCACCAGCCTCCCGTTACGGTACACCGTGATGCGGCGCTGGCAGCGCACGAGGCCGGTCTTGACCCCGGGATGGTCTTCAGGAGGAGGCGGAGGTGTGGGGTTCGGCGCAGGGCCAGCGTGCTTCACTCGCAGCACCCGGCCTGGCTTGACCTCCACGAAGGTGTAGCCATCGCTGGACTCGACGCTCTCCAGCGGCCGCACAGCGTTGGGGGGCATCCCCAGCAGGCAGCAGAGGAAACCATCTGTCACCCCGGTCAGCATGGTGTGTCCTGGAGGGAGGGACAGTGGCCAGCTGAGAGTCAGCGGCTCTGCTCATGTACCGGGCAAGCAGGACCTGGGCGCCTCTTCTAGGCTCCCTGCCACCCCAGTGATGGACAACCTCTCGAGGTGCCCCTTGGTACAGTACTGGATAGATCGTGGCGGCCTTCCAGAGTGAGAGGACATTAAAGCAAGTGCTCATCCAGCTAGGCCCATTCGTTCGTTTATTTATTCACAAATCCATGCCTTCACCTATGCATTCAATTCACTTGTGCATGTAAGCACACATGCCTTCATTCTTCCTTTCACACACTGATTTATACAAGCATGCATGCACGTGGGTTTGCCGGCTTGGGTTTGAGAAAGGATCCATTTTGCCCGGGCTGGCTTTGGAAATCCCTGTGCTGCCCAGACTGACCCTGCCCTGGCTTCCACCTCTGGGGTTGTAGCAGGCTTGGCACGTAGGTGTTTCCAAAGCCCAGAAGAACCTCAAACTCCCAAGAAGTCTCCTACCTCTACCTCCCAAGTGTCGGGTGACAGGCGTGCATCACCACAATGGCCTTGGTTTGTTTTTGTTTTTTGAAATAACATCTCATTCTGCAGTCCTGGGTCCCCCACTGGTCTCACTCTTCGCAATCCTCCTGCCTCTGTCAGGGCTTGAATGACTAGTATGAACCACCATCACTGCCAGCCTTTTACACAAGGTTTGATTCTGTAGCCCAGGATGGCCTCAACCTTGCGCCCCAGGCCCCTGCGATGATGACAGACTACAGAGCCTGGCTCTTGGCCTAAAGGGTCAAAGTTCCCAGCTCAAGCCTCCTGTTGTGAATCTGACAAACAAACAAAGATGCCAGGGAAGGACCTTGGCCACTGGGACTCAGGTTGTATCCTGTCCCAGGTCCAGGAGGGAGGGAGCTAGAACTGTGTCACAGAGAAGAGACTGATGAAGGCGACAGCACCCAGGTATCCTGTGTTCTGAGCGGCGGCCACACAACCTTAGTGGCAGCCAGGAGGATGAAGGCAGACCTGACTGGGGACCTCTGGGCCCCGGTTCCCTTGACCACCCCTCCCCCGTGTCCATGACAACTACAGACAGTTACATAACTCCAGGGGATACCGGCGTAGTGCACCCCATTATCTGAGGCATGGGGATGGGACCAGCTTTATTTTTCCTTCACGGCCTGGGCACCGCTGAAGTGATGCTCATTAATACCTTGCTCCTGGTGGCCCTAATTGCAGGCCCTGCACCCCACCTCTAGAGCCCTGGAACCCCGACTGCGGAGGCCTCTCTAAAGCGCACGGCCAGTCTTGCTTCCCAGAGCCCGACCGGCTTCTCCCTGGCGTCCCTGCGGTGGGGTCAAGGCCACTGGTGTTCTGCAGCATCCTAGCAGCGCGAATGCGTAGCTTGGCAGTTACCCTCCCCCCCCCCCACGCCCAAAGTGGAGGCCTGGCAGCCTGGTGGCTCCTCTAGTAACAGATCCAGCTCACCTGAGGTCATCGAGGGGCCCTGGGGGCAGGGGTCCCGGGCGGAGAAGCCAGCATCCACCTGCAGGTGCTCCTTACATGGTGGTGCCGGGTCGGCCGCATTAGCGCGGGCAGGCGCGTGCGGCGGGCAGTCAGCGCAGGGGTATCCTGCAGCCGCGCAGCAAACTGGCCCGTCAGTCCCACCCAGCGCGGGCGGGGCCTCGATCCGATGGGCGGGCATGTCGGCCTATTGCCGCCGCGAGCCGACCTGGCCTAGATAACCGTCCAACCAGAGGCTGTGCTTCCAGGATAAGCGCGGGCTCTGCGAGCAGCAGCCCCGCCCCTGCGAAAGGCTTGGGGACCTAGGGGAGGGATGGACGGGCGCTTGGGTAAAGACGGGAAGCGGGTGGCCTCCGTGGGCTGTGTGCTCAGTCTGGGACGGGGTCTCCACAGCCAGCTTCCTCCTCCCGCAGGGCCGTGAGCCCTCTCTCTGCTGACCTTTCCGTTCTACAGATCCCCAAATCTCTACTCTTTTAGGTAGGGAAACTGAGACAAAAAAAAAAAGTCAAGGCATTGGCTGAGCAGAGGCTGTGCCATTCCTGAATCCTGAGAATGCGTGTTGAAGCTGGGGAGCTAACGAATGGGAGTTGCATCCTAACTGCCCCAGAAGAGCGGGGGCCAAGGAGCCGCCCTCCCACCCTGGCCTTCCGAGGGCTGTTCGTTCAGGGGCTCCAGGGTGCAGCCGGGACACTGGCAGCCATCCCTTCTACACACAGTAACGCGTTGTCCCTGTTATTTGTAGGCACAAGTGGCCGTTTTAGAGGGTGGGTAGGGACCATGAACTTCAAAGATGCTCGTGTGAATGGCTTCGCGTGGCTTCTGTCACGCCTATCTGGGCATCTTTCTAAGAGCAATGCGGAGCCCAGGGAGGGTGTGTGAGCAGGAACAGTCCAGCTCTGAGCTGCGGGAAGAAAATTCTTCCAAGCCAGCCTGAGATATTAATCTAGCCAGGGCAAATTCACAACGCATGAGTTTTCCAGACTTCGAAGAGCCAAGGACATCCGGGCTGCCCGCCAGGAGGAGAAGCCTCGGCTGCGGTCGTGGAAAAGCCGCCAGCCGGCTGCGTGCCAGCTGCCCGTCTCCAAAAAGGACAGCTGAAAAAGCCAGCAGCCACTTCCCCTGGCTGCAGCCAGAGGCGTCGCCGCCACTATAGGGCGCCCTTTACCAGTGCCTAAGGCAAAGAACTACAACTCCCAGAACACCAGGACAAAATGTCTTCCGCAAGCCCAGGTTGAGAAGTCTACACTCGCTGGCCCCCTGCTGGTCAACTCGGAAAACTACACGCCACAGAAGACAAGACAGCTCAGTTCATCGTCGTGCGCAGGCGTGAAACTACAGCTCCCGGAGTGCTCCGCTGCAATACATGGAACTACATTTCCCAGAAGGGATTGTCGCGGAGCCCACGGTGTAGGAATTAGTGGCGAACCGGACAGAGTGACGGGCCACTTATCATGGCTTTCCTGTCCCGGTGCTTTGGGTGCCACACTTGCAGATCAGTGACCTTGTTTGGTGGCAGGTGAGTGCTCAGGAGGTAGCGTGCTCCAGATTGGGAACAAGGGTGGCCTCCAGACTACCACTCGCGCTTATGTAAATATGTATGTTTTGCATAAAGGCTGTTTGGTAACCCTGCACTTTGCAAACGTTGCTCAGAGCGTCCATTCTCTGAGATTTCACCGTTTCTCTGGTCCCACAGGTATCTCCAATCCAGGGTCTGGTTGGGGCTCCCGGACTCCTGGGGCCTCCCCTCCCTGCAGCAGGCCCGTGGCCGCGCGCGCGGAAACGAGTATCAGCCGAGCAATATCAAGCGCAAGCACAAGCATGGCTGGGTCCGCCGGCTGAGCACCCCGGCCGGCGTGCAGGTCATCCTCCGCCGCATGCTGAAGGGTCGCAAGTCTCTGAGCCACTGAGGAGTGCGACGCCGCAGGGCGCCCGCGGGAATAGACTCAGATGCCAGAAGAATTGCCGGGAGGATGAGAAGTTGGGGCGAGTTGAAAGTGGGGACCTATCTCTTCGTATTCAGAACTTGCAGAGCCTCCGGGTCCCGGTGTCTCCTGTCCACAGTTGCTCACTGACCACCAGCAGCGGTGGGGCCCCCTCCTGCTATAGCTCATCCGTTTCTGTGAATATTTTTGAAGGCATCTTTGCAAGATGGGCTCATTAAAACATCGCCACCACCCCAACATTTCCAGCCATTCTGAAGTATTACTGGCTCACTAATAAATATTCGCGTTTGGGGGCTACATATGTATGTATGTATGCAAGAGGGATTGGGTAAGGGCAACTACCCATATAGATGGGAAGCCAGAGGAATCAGGAATTTGGACCCCTGAGGTAGGACTAAAGCCTTGGACCACTGAAAAACTACAGCAGGTGTTGGAACCAGACCCAGAGGGAGATCTGACACTGCATGCCAGTTATCCCCGAGAGAGTTCGAGAGGGGGAAGAGGGCCAGTTCAAGGCCATTCTCACACAGCAAGTTCAAGACCAATCTGATATTTTTAAATTTTAGATTGACTTACTTGTATCTTTTATGCATTTTTCTTGTGGCTTAGTTTGGTTTCTACCAAAAGCAACTAATGGAGGAGAAAAAAATGTATTCTGTCTCAGCCCACATTCCATGTCTTAAGAATGTCAAACAGGGGACTGGAGAGATGGCTCAGAGGGTAAGAGCACTGGCTACTTTTCCAGAGGTCCTGAGTTAATACTCCCAGCAGCCACGCAGTGGCTCACACCATTTATAGTGAGATCTGGTGCTCCTTTCTGGTGCACAGGCACACATGCAGATAGAACATTGTATGCATATAAATAAATAAATCTTAAAAAAAAAAAAAAAAAAAGCTTAAACGCTAAGAATGTCAGACAGAGCCTGGAGGCAGGAGCTGATGCAGAGGCCATGGAAGGGTGTCATTTACTGGCTCGCTCCCATGGCTTGCTCAGCCTGCTTTCTTATAGAACTCAGGGATGACAGCACCTACTATGGGGCTGGGCCCTCTGCAACAATCACTAAATGTCTAACTGGGCAGTGGTGGCACTTACCTTTAATCCCAGCACTTGAGAGTTCAAGGTTAGCCTGGTCTACCCAGGAAAACCCTGTTTCAAAAAGAGAGGGGGAAAGAAAAGAAAGAAATGAAAATGTCTCACAAGCTTGCCTACAGCCTAGTCTTATGGAAGGATTTTCTTAATTGAGACTCCCTCCTCTGTGATGACTCTAGCTTGTGTCAAGTTGGTATAATTATCTACTACAGAAATATTGAGAAAATTATTTGTGGGGCAGGCTTGATGACCTGAGTTTACATATCCCTGTACCTACTCGACACATGTCTGTGGCCCTGGATATCAATGGTGGACAGATCCAACCAGGCTAGCCAAAATGATCAAATTCCAGGATCAGTGAAATATCCTGTCACAAAATATAAATGAAGGGAGCTTTAGCTCTATAGGTAAAATGGTTGTCTAGCATCGAAAGGCCCTGAGCTCTGTTCCCAGCACCCCATAAACCCTGTATACATGAAACTCTTGAGTCTTGCAGGAAGATCAGAGCACCCTCGGCTACATAGCAAGGCTGCAAGAGATCCTATTTACAAGGACCAGTGATTTGGCTCAGCAGGTAAAGGCACTTGCTGGTCAAACCTAGTGACCTGAGTTGATCCTAGAACTCATGAAGGTGGATAGCATGGACACGATCCATAGAGTTGTCCTCTGCCCTCCACACATTCATGCATACAATAAAATCTAATAAATAGGTCAGTAAGTAAGGCAGCCATGGAGGAAGACTCCCAGGTCTAGCTCTGCCTCCACACGCACATCACACAAGTTTTGTTTAATATAGTGTGAGCTGTCAGTTCCAAGTAAATACAAAAGTAGCTAGTGCAGAAACCACATACAAAAATTCAAGTTTGGGCAGTAATGGTGCACACTTTTAATCCCAGCACTCTGGAGGCAGAGGCTGGCCGATCTCCATGTTCAAGGCCAGCCTGGTCTACAAAGCAAGTTGCAGTACAGCCAAAACCCACACAGAGAAATACTATCTCAAAAAAGAAAGAAAAAGGAAAGTCAAGTGTGAGTCGGGTGTGTACATGTGTCATGGCTGAGAGCTACATCCTAAGCTACACAGTGAGTTCCACATACAGCCTGTCTCAAAAACATGCAACTAGGAGACTGGTCAGCTAGAAAAAGTTCTTGTTACCACACCTGATAATCTGAGCTTGATCCCTGGAACCCACAGGATGGAACGGTCTCCCAAAAGTTGTCCTCTTTACATGAGGACTGGTACACACACACACAACACACAGGTAATTTTAAAATTTGTATATAACAACTCTAGAAACTTGGGTTGGAACCCCTCCCATTCTCAAACTGTTTTTGTTTGTTTGTTGTTTTTTTCCAAACAGGCTTTCCTTGTGTAGCCCTGACTATCCTGGAACTTACTCTTGTAGACCAGGCTGTCCTCGAACTCACAGATCCTCCTGCCTCTGCTTCCTAAATGCAGGAATTAGAGGCCTGAGCTACCACCGCCTGACTGTATTTTTGTAATATGGTTATATTAGCTCTACGTAAAACAACAAAGTCTTTACGCCTGCTACCCCAGTAATTTGGGAAGCTGAGGCAGAAGGATTGCTGCATATTTAAAGTCAGCATGTACTATGAGACCTAAAAAAAATGAACTGTAGGATAAAACCCGGCGGGGGATGCCGGAGTTAGGTGAACGCATTATGCATTACGGGGGGCCTTTCAGGGACGTCTTAGAAAAGAGCCAACCCCAAAACAAGCGGAGTCCTGCCAGATCGAGGGCGAGCTGTGAACTACAACTCCCAGGAGGCTTCGCGCGCAGCCCCCGCCCACTCCCGGATCGCAAGTCTTTGCATCCCAAGTCCCGGGCAGGGTTTGATCCTGCAACCGAACTCTACGACGAAGGCGGAGGTATGGAGACCAATGGTAACTCTAGTGAGCACGAGCTGGCCAATGGGAGCGTGTCGTGCGCGGCCGCCGTGAAGGGCGGGGCCACCACGCGGGCCAATGACGCGCGGCGCTGTCGCCATCGGCGTGAGCTGCGCGGCGGCTGGAAGTGGCTGTGCGGCGGCGACTGGGAAGAAGGCTGCGGCGGCGGCGGCGGCGGCCCGGGCGGCGGAGGACGCGGACGATGGTGAGCGCGGCCGTACGGCCTCCTTTTCCGCCCAGCTGGCGGCGCAGAGTCCCCCACTGTCTCCCCGAAGGCCCCACCCAGCCCTCCTTTAGCCCCGGGCCCGCCCCTCCCGTTGACCTGTGACCTCCAATCCCTCCCCAGACCTCTCCGCGGGCTGCCTATCGACCCCACGGCTCTTACTGCGACCCCTGACCCTAGGTAGGCTTCCAGGCCCTGACAACTCATTCATTTCCGGGTCGCGACTGTCTCTTGTCTCCCTCTCCCGGAAATCGCTTGGAGTGGGGTGGGGTCCCTCGAGACCCCCGCTCCGGGCTGTTCCACGACGCTGCTCCTCGGGTTCCCGGCCTTTGAGGTGTGGGTCTGGGCACTTCGTAGGGAGGGGACTTGACACTGTGACATGCAGGGCTTTGTTACCGAAGGAGGTGCGACATCGCGCCAGACCCGTTCCCCAGGTCCCCACCTCTCTCCATCTTGAGCCCATATTCGTCCTTAACGAGGAAACAGTTTCGTCTCCCTGTTTGCAAAATGGGGTGCCCATCCCGTAGGATGAGGCATCGATGGGGGCTAGCACGTCCACAGATGTGCTTGGGGACATCCGCCCTTCGCTGTCCCCCCAATCTTCAAGAGAGGTGATCCCTGTGACCAGATGGGAGCTCATAATCGGCTCCGGGGTCGTGGTTCCGGTGGTTCTTTGTGATTGGGGCTCCCCATCTGTGACCTGAGGTGGGTGGCCACATCTCAGGGTTGGGCAGGTATGAGCCCAGAGCTCAGATCCCAGCCCACACCCTGGAGATTAGGTAGTGACCCACACAGACGAACTCCTGGAAGGAAACAAGCATGCCTCTAGGGTCCCCGATTCACCTCTGCAGCATCATTCCCACACCGAAAGTCTCCCCCGTGCTACCGCCCTGCTCCTGGCTAGCTGCTTTCCTATCCCTTCCCATTCCAGTCTTTTGGCCATCTTTAATACACCTAGTATTAGCTTTTCAAAGACATCAGTCATTTGTATGCTTTCTAACATAAAGCATCCTTGGGGCTCCATGTGGTGAGTCTTCTTACTTCCATTCAGGGGACAGTGCTGTCCTTTGTGACCTCATCCCCACCACCTCAGCCCTTCCCTCTGCAAGCCACACTGGCCTTGTTTTCACTACCTCTGGCTCCCAAGTTCCTGCCTTTGCACCAGCTGCACCTTCACCTCCCTTGACCCTGAAGGCCCCTGAGGGAGATGGTTTCTATGTACTGAGGCCTTGGTTGCCAGTGTAGCTGACAGGAAGAGGTTCTGCCTTCTTTTAGAAGTATAGATAGGTACACGTTCATGCCTGGCCTGGGGCCTCTGTCCCTAGGTTTTGCCCAAACTGTCTTGCCAGCCTCTCTGAGCTATACTCGGTGGTGGGTCTCTGGGGTGGCGATGCACAGGCCATTCAGCCTAGCCGGGAGATCAAACCCAGGTCACTTGGCCAGCAGCAGGCCTGTGTGTGGTATGGGGCAGGGGGGTCCTCTCTGAGCTGTCAGGTCCCCGTCTGAGGCCTTAGGGAGGCGGGAGTCTGTGAAGTGTAAGCTGTGCTCCAGACACAAACATTTTCTGCTGTATGGGAACAGCTCAGGCAAGTGCTTTGAGATAATGGAAAAGTTGGAGGGTGTGTCCCAGATGCAGAAAGTGGTGGCAGACTGTGTGACAAATCAGAGAGGTCGTATTGGCCATCACTGGTAGGGAGCAGTTGAGATTGGCTAGCTTTGACCTCCCAGTCCTCTTGCCTCCACCTCCTGAGTGCTGGGGTAACAGTTGGGGGAGGGGGGCATAAGCAGGGCAGGGTCCCTTTTGCATGGCTGCCCCAGGGAAACTCCCCTGGGTTCCGGACTAGCCTGGCCTCTGCTACACAGCCACACACAGCACCCTCAGGGCTAATGCCCCGGGCACCATGGTTCTCCTGCTCTGAAGGCCTACCCCCATGCCTCAGGTAGAGCAGTGCTATGTCCAGGGAACCCTGGGGGCATGGGGGAGAGGCTCTGGAGCCTGTACCCTGGGGTGGTCAGGAGCAGCTCCTGGGACATTGAGCTGGCCCCAGAGTGGGAGGTCACAAATCTGAAAGGAGGGCCACTGGGGCTGCCTGGCTACATTCCAGGCCAGCAGAGTGGGGTGGCCACAGACGCAGGCACCTGTGCTTCACCAAAGACACCCAGAGAGCCAGGCCTGAGCCTCAGGCATGTCACAGGGAAGCAGTCATGGGGGCCTGTGCTGGTCTGTACAGTGGTGCCTCCACTGCTCCCTGGAAGGCTCGTGACACACACAGCTACATGCCCCAGGGCAGGGCACACCAGTAGCCACAGACTGCACTTTCATCTGTTGCCCTCCCCAGACATGGAAAGTGAAGAAACATTCTGGTTACCTCTCTGAGCTAATTGGACTCAAGACTGAGTTAGGGGACCCTTGCCACAGCAGTCCGCTCCCTGTGTGTGAAGTGAGGCATCCTCCCAAGCCAGACTAAGGACTGAGGACTCCCCAGAAGTGGGACTGGTTGCCTTGTGATGATGGCCAGGCAGCCCTCAAACTGACAAACCCTCTGGCCCCTGTCCCAACGCCAACTGAGGCTGGGATGGTGGGCGGGTCCCGGGCCCCTTTCTGAAATATCCTATAGTTACTTTCCCAACCCCTGAGACAAGGTTTCTCTGTGTAGCCCTAACTTTCATGGAAGTCGCTCTGTAGATCAGGCTGGCCTCAAACCTCCTCTGTCTCCCAAGTGCTGGGACTGAAGGCATGTACCACCACCACTCACCCCACTTCCAGTTTCATTATTGCTTTTTTTATTTTGAGATAGGGTATGACTCTGTAGCCCAGGCAGGTTTTGAACTTGTAGTAATTCCCTGCCTTAGTGTCATGGGTGTTGGGATGGCAGGCGTGCACTCATGCCGAGTGGAAGTGTAACTTTAAGCAGCTCCCAGGGCTGGTGAGATGATAGCCATGCCTGGCAATGGGACACACATGGTGGGAGGAGGAAACAGACTTAAGCATCTTGTCCTCTGTGCCCACAACACAGTACTCTCCACCACATGGCCTGATCACAGGAGAGCCCCATGCCTCTGTGTGGCACTAGAGCACAGGGTCGGTGGCAGCCAGGTATGTCCTGGGGCTGCATCGGAGGCCTCACCACCCGCCCCTGTCTCCAGGCAGACTTTCTGAAAGGCTTGCCCGTCTACAACAAGAGTAACTTCAGCAGGTTCCACGCGGACTCTGTGTGCAAGGCCTCGGTGAGTGTGGAGCTGGGGGTGGCGTCACTGTCCTGAGGGTGAGGGTTGCCAGCTAACCCACCACTCCCCGTCCACAGAACCGCCGTCCCTCAGTGTACCTGCCGACCCGAGAGTACCCGTCAGAGCAGAGTGAGTACTGCGGGCTTTGCCCTCCATGTAGCTAGGAAGGACATATGGAGGGGCAGGAGTGACTCTGGGGACAAGCACATTGATCTTGGGACAGCAGCCACTGTGGCTGGAAGCAGGGGTCCGTCGATTGCTCTGGTGTTGCCCTGAGGGGCCTGAGTTGGCCCCAGGCTATCCTGCTCTCCTTGCTCTTGTGATCAAGAGCATAAGCCACAGCTGAGCTGAGAGCTTCCTCCCCAGCCACGCATACACCAGGCAGGGCAAGCACACCTGCTCTCTGCTGAGGCAGGAAGATCACAAGTTTAAACCTAAGTTTAGTTTCCTGGAACTCATGTGAAAGCTGGGTGCCTCGGCAGGGGTCGATAATTAGAGTCCACCCCTGCTAGGCAGTCTCAAGAGATCCCATTAAACAATGCCAATGCGAGGACTAGTACCCGAGGTTCATCTCTGGCCTCCACATATAGGCCGAGGCATGTGTGCAGCCACGCACATGCTCATAAAGACCACAAGCCAAGGACTGTGGCTGGGAAAGTGTTGAAGGCCATGACCCTCCTGGGCCTGTGGACCATGATATTGGAGACAGAGCCTGAGGCCTAGGAGAACAAGGGCCTCCTGGTTTAACCATCAAGAAAGAATCTGGAAGCTGGGCGGTGGTGGTGCATACCCCTAATCCAGCCACATGGGAGGCAGAGGCAGGTGGATCTCTATGAGTTTGAGGCCAGCTTGGTCTACAGAGCCAGTTCCAGGATGGCCAGAGCTACATAGTGAGACCCTACCTCAAAAAACAAAAAAATCTGAGGTCAGCAGGCAAGGGTGCCAGCCACTAGGCCTGAGAACTGGATTCAGTCCCCAGAACCCATGTGGAAGAGGAGAGAACCCAGTCCTGCAGTTGTGCTTTGGCCAGTGTGTACCCATGCAGCACAGCAAGGGTCGCATATGTTCAGGTAGCAGTGCTGCAGCAGGGGACGCAAGCCCACACTCCAGCACCACACAGCCGCAGACAGCTGTGTCTCCAGCTCCAGGGCATCGAACGCCACACACACACACACACACACACACACACACACACACACACACACACTCACACACTCACACACTCACTTCAAATAAATCCTTAACAACAAAACTAATCTGTCCTGGGAATGGGACAAGGCTCATGATTAGCGCAGGTCTCTGTCGGGTGTCCCCAGCAGCAGATCTCACTGTAGCCTCACCATGCTTCTGTCTCACCATGCTTCTGCCTTGTAGCCTCAAGTGAGCCCTGGGAGAACAGGAGGGAACGGGGGACCTCACAGCAGCGTGCTGGCCTGTGTCCTGGAACCTCAGCTGCATCCTCGCCACTGTCCCCAGGGCAGCAGGGAATGTGTGCTCATAAGGGAAATGGGAGTCTTCTGACACTTCTGAGATACGGTTGCTAAGTTTGAGCCACAGAAAAATGAGGCAGGCCAGGATGCTGAGGTGGAGGTCAGAGCGCCTCCATCTTTCTCACTCTCTCTCTTTGCTTCTCAGTCATTGTGACAGAAAAGACAAACATCCTCCTGCGGTACCTGCACCAGCAATGGGACAAAAAGGCAAGGTTCTCGCCGGAGGCTCGTGGTATTTGAGTGGGACCTTGAGGGTTGAGTAGGAGTCCTTCAGGTGATCAGGACTGGGTAGAAGTGGGTATGCTCTTGGGTTCCTAGTGCTTAGGAGACTGAGGATGAGTCTGGGACATTCTGCACTGCACAACCAACACCCAGTCACCAAGCCAAATGTCTGGTTTTGGCATTTTATTGTACTGGTGAAATGTGTGCATGACAAAAAAAATCCAGTCTAGTATATGCCTGTTATCCCAGCATTCAGAGCTGAGAGACAGTGTTATGGACCAGCCTGAGGTACCATGAATTTTTTTGAGACAGCTCTCACTGTGAGCCTGGGGTGGCCTCATTACTTAACAGTGACCCTCCTGCCTTTGACTCCCAAGTGGTAGGTTACAGGCCTGTGTCACCATAGCAAAAAGACACACCCACCCAGCCTGTCTGAGTACCTCACAGGGTGTCCCCAGGTAGACACTCCTCTAGCCTTTGAAAAAGGGTTCTGGGCGTGCTGACTCACCCTGGAGGCAGGCAGGAGGCCCTCGTCCTGTGAGTTTGAGGCCAGCCTGGTCTACATAGGAGCTATGTAGAGATGCTGTCTCAAAAAGGGGGAGGAGACACCATACCTTTGCTGCCCTGGCACTGTCCTCACCCTGGCGACTCTCCCCACCTCCACCTTCAGAACGCCGCAAAGAAGAGAGACCAAGAACAGGTGGAGGCGGAGGGCGAGAGCTCAGCGCCACCACGCAAGGTGGCCCGGACCGACAGCCCAGACATGCCCGAGGACACCTAGGCCCGATGCAGCACCCCTCGTCTGTCAGCTCTGTCCACTCCCGCCCGCGTGTGTAAGCACAGCCCGCCTCCTACACCCAGCCTGCGCCCTCCAACCTCATAGGACCCATGTATTTATTTTCCTTGAGTTTTTATTTATGCTGTAACTCGTGTCAAGCATTGGTTAAAGGGACATCAGGCCCAGCTACAGGGTGTCAGTAGATGCATTTTAAAGCACAGTGGTGCCCCAACCCAGCCACCCGCCAGCGAGACCACACCAGGGTCCAGAGCCCAGGGCGGGCTGGTCCCCAACACACCTAGCGGCCTTCTCACTCCTTTCCACCCACAGGCCTAGCTGGGTCTTGGGACTCCCGGGTCCGGCCAGTGCCCAGGCCTCGCGCAGAGCCCATGCCAGGGCAGGAGAGAGCTGGCCCTTCTGAATCTTTCTCTTAAGTCAGATTATCATGGACTAGCCCATGCTCCACATCCACCCCAATAAAAGGATCTTTCCTACTCCATCCGGCGTCTTTGCTCCGCACACCTCGTCCGGAGCCACTGAGAGCTGCAGAAAACAACCCCTGCCCAGAGGTCCTTGGGGTCGGGTCCCCTGGGAGACTGAGCCCAGGACAGGGCACAGGGCTAACTGACAGCTGCCTGGCACTGGCATCATGTGCAAGGCCTACTAGGCACGGGCACCAGTGTCTAGCTGGCCACTAGGGGCTCCTGCACCAGCTCTTGTGTGTGTGGTAGCCTTTCACCAGGAAACACCGTGGCCATACTGTTGTGTGGTAGGAGGGAACTATCTAGACATAATAGCTGTGTGCCCACATCTGTAGCATGGTACACACTGCAGGCATATGGTTCTGAGGGTCCTGCACGCAGGCTGGACCATGCCTGTGGTCAGGGCCAGAGGTGTCCATGTGCCCCGGGGCTGTTACCCAGCTGTGGCCCTACTTCCTGGAGAGCACCTCAGCCTCCAATGAGCAGGCACCAATGACCATGCTCTAGCAACCATTATGTGCCGGCCTAAGCACCGCACACCACTTTCAATAGTTGCTTCCTGAGCCCTTTCAGACAGGCTGCCACTCCTGGGCCTCCATGTGAACTCCAGCTGCCTTCCCAAAACTGCCTTTGCTGTGTCGCCAGTATGCCGCCAGGGCCACCTGGGGCCCCAGGTACCAGGCTTGGCACCTCTGACCTGGGGTGCAGTGGACTGCTCTCTTGCAGACCCTCTGTCCCAGGCACCCCAAGGGGTGCACGATCCCCATACCCCGTGGAATATGGGGTTCCATGTGCGCGAGCATCTGGACCCAGACCGGAGGCGGTCATGCTGAGGGGTTCCGTGGGCCCGCCTGAGGCCTCGTCGGGGGAAAATGGGGTGCTAGCCTCTGGCTACAGATCCCACGAGGGTCCCTCCACTGCTCTGACCTCGAGCACTGTTGAAATAGACTTTTTATTGCATTTCTGCCGTTTTACAAAAATATGACAAAATAAATTAAAAACAAATAAATAACCGTCCATCCTGTGTACTTTTCTGTACTGCGGGGGTCCTTTCGTGGCCCCCTTCCCGGTCGAAGGAACGGCAGGGGCGCGGCGGGGCTAGTGGCGGGCTGCGGGCCAGCAGGCGGGCTGCGCGGGACCGTCCGCGGGACCGGGGGCACGGGGCGGGTGGTTGCCGCAGCCCCAGGGTGCGTCCCAGCGCCAGCAGCCGGCGGGCGGCGAGGCAGGCCCTGCGGAGGGAGAGCGCGGTTCGCGGGGCCCCACGGCGCCTGCGGCCCTCGCGACTCGCGCCCCGGTTAAGGCCTGGGACCTGCGTCCTCTGGCCGCGGCTCCGGCTCGGCGGCCGCGGACTCGTCCCCAGCGCTCCTGTGCGCGCGCGCGCCGCCCCCAGGGGCCCCGTTGGCCGCGGGCTCTCGCGCCGTGAAGGCGAACAGCTTCCCGGACCTCGGCGGGGACGGACCGCGCTCCGGCGCCTTGAGGAAGCGCAGGCTGAGGAAGGCGGGCAGGCGCGTGTCCGCGGGAGAGCGCGGCGGGGGGGCGCACCCGGCGGGCGCGGGCGGCCGGGCCTGCAGCGGGATGATCTGCTTCAACCGTAGTACCGGGCCGGGCGGCAGCAGCGCTCCGGGCCGTCGGGGCCGCTCGCTGCCCTTGGCCTTGGCCGTGCTGCGCTCCGCCGCGGGCTCGGGGCCCGGGACCTCCGCGCGCGCCTCCTCGCGGCCGCCCGCGTCGCGCTCCCGCCGCGCCTGCTGCTCCGCGTGCCGCTGCCGCTCCTCCTCCTCGCGGCGGCGTCGCTGCTGCTGCTGGAAGCGCTGCTGAGCCTGCCGCTCGTGCCGCTGCGGGGAGACACCAGGCTGAGCGCCCACTGCCCGCGCCAGAACCCCTGACCTGACCACCGGGGCCTGAGGAACTGAGAGAAGCCAAAGAACCGCTGGGCCCGCGGCTTGGAGAGCCGGGGATGTGGGAGACGCTATAGACCTCCAGCTGGGGCTTTCTCAAAAGAACTGAGCCCACCACCACCACCACCGCTTTCCCTTTCTTTGTGTGTTTTGAGTCAGGTCTTCACTATGCAACTGGAATTCAGAAGCTTCCCCAGTGCTAGGATCACAGGCATGAGTCACCATTCACGGCCCGTCAATATAAATTAACACTCAGTTTGGAGTTGAAGATCAGCGAGCAGGTAGAGGCCCAGCCTAGTATCCCCTAGTGAGGGACTACACCGTGGCTCCAGGAGTAGCCCAGACTCTTGGCTGCTGTTTGGCACACTTTCCCAGAGTCTTCCCTAGAAGGCGCCGCTCCTTGGCCCTTCGTGCAGTTTGCAGAGCAATTTGGAGAGGCAGGCTGGCAAGCTGAGGAATGAACATTCTTGAGAGCTGATGCCATCAAGAAGCTAGAGAGCATCGCTGGGAGCACAAGCTGCAGTCACCCCTTAGTCCCCCAACACAGGGTGTTGGCTTCAGGACCAACACAAATAAGGTACAGCGAAGGCTCTGGTCCCTTCTACAGTGGCACCCTGCTTTCAATATGCTCACAGCTTCCTGTGGACTTTCAGTGTCCTAGATGGCGCTGTCTCGAGAGACGGCTCAGTGGTTAAGAGTGCTGGCTGCTGGGTTAGGACCCTGGTTTAGTTGCCAGCACCCACATGAAAGCTCACAACCATCTGTAACTTCATTTTGGGGGATCTGACGCCCTCTACTGGTCTTTGAGGACACTGAATGCACATATACATATGCAAGCAAAACAGAACACAAAGTAAAATTAAATAAATCAAAACAAGGAAGCCTCTGATGAGTTGCTGGGAATACCACACAACACTGGCTCCGAGGAGGCGCTGTGCTCCACATCCATGGTCCCAGCTAACTCAGAGGCAGGGTCGAGGGGTATCAGTCTCAAGCCTGGGCTACACAGACCCACTAACAGCGTACATAAAAAATTAAAAACAGCCAGGTGCAGTGGCGGATCTCTGTGCATTCAAGGTCAGCCTGGCCTACAGAATGAGTTCCAGGACAGCCAAAGCTACACAGAGAAACCCTGTCTCAAAAAAAATAATAAATAAACACACACACACACCCAAAAATAAAACCAAACCAGGTGTGGCAGTATATGCCTGTCCTCAGAAGGGTGAGGTAGGCATTCCAAAATTGAGGCTGTGATGGGCTATGGAGAAGCATAGTGCCTTCTCCAAACACAGAAGGAAATGCAGCAGGCCTGTAGTCACTGGAGGCACATTTGGCTTTCTTTTGGGGGGAAGGAGGAGAAAGACACACACACACACACACACACAGAGAACAGCATGTAGCCCAGGCCTTAAACTCCCTATGTAAGTGAGGAAGGCCTTGAACTCCAGATCTACCTGCGCCCACCCCTCGGTGCTGGGATGATGGCAATGCACAAGCCACTGAGCTTTCTGAATACTTTCCATCCAAGTTGGTGTGATCTTGGGTGCAGAACCTATGGATGGGGGTCTGTGCTGCCCGCTGAGGGTTTTCTTAAGGCCTCATCCTTGACGGTACTCCCTCCCGGAAACCACATCGTCCTCACCACAGCCCCATACCTTGAAGGCTTCCCGCCGCTGGTACTCGAGTTTGGCCATCTCCTCAGCCACCCAGCCTGGGATGTCAGGAATAGCTGCGTGGATGAGGTACTTGACTAATAGAGCCAAATGCTGTGGGGGACACAGAGGGGGAGGCTGCAGGCTCGGAGATGCCTGGCCTCTCCATCCCTTCCAGGGTCTTCCCCCCAGGGCTCCCACCCCCACCCCCGGGACCCTAGCCCCACCTCCAGCACCAGCACAGACACGATGGCTGCCTCTGGGCTCAGCCAGGGGAACAGGCGCTGCAGCTGGCCACACTGGCCGATGAGGTAGCAGTTGACTACGATAGCCAGCACGCCCATCGCCTCCATAGCCTTCTGCAAGGGAGGCAGGAGGCTCAGAGACAGGTCCGGCCAGGGACCGCCATTCCCCACCATCCCCTCTGGGCCTCCATGGCCGGCCCACCTGCCACTGGCCAATGCTCTCCACACGCTGACCGAAGGGCCGCTGTAGGCCGGTGCATAGCTTGAAGGCATCGCTTCGGATCTCAATCAGGTTGTTGACTAGGGCGCACAGGGCGGCCAGTGGGAAGGCAGATGAGAAGAGCACTACATAACCGAACTGCACAAACATCTCCTGGTAGTCCTGGAACGTGTCCTGCGGGTGGGGGCTCGCATCAGGCACTGCCCCCTCAATTCATCCCTCTAGGCCTGACCAGCTTCCAGCTGGGACCCCATGCTCACCCAACCTCTCCATCACAGACTGTGGGCCTGCCCCCACCATCAAGCGCACTCAACCTGTGCCTTTTTTTTGGGGGGGGATGGGGAGGGGTTTAGTTTGCATGGCTTCTGGAGGTGCATGTGTGTAAGCAGAGTTCGAGCATGCGCGTGTGTGGGGGCCAGCGGTTAACTGCAGATGTCCTTCCTTCCTCGAGCATTGTCCACCTTGTCTTTTTTGAGTGGGGATTCACTGCACATGTGCGGGCATCAGAATAAAACCTCTGGTAGTCTGTTCTCTCATTCAGTGGGAGTCCGGGGGTTTAACTGAGGTCGTCAGACTCGGCAGCAAGCGCCTATACCCAACCTAGCCACCTCACTAGCCCTTTTTTTTCTTTTTACTCATTTAAATTTTATTTTATTTATGCATGTGTGAATTCCTTTGTGTTGTGGGAAGAGGGGAGCACGCAGAGGGTGGAAAAGGGTGTTGAATCCCTTGGAGTCGGAGTTACAGGCTTTTGTGAGTGTCCAGTGTGGATGTAGGGCTCTGACATCCAATATGGCCTGGTGAGCCAGCACTCCAAAGCTATTTATTCGTGTATTTGTTTATCTTCGGTTTTTAGAGACAGGATCTCTCTGTGTGTACTCCTGGCTAACTTAGAACTCACAGTAGACCAGGCTGGTCTCAAACTCAGTTCTGTCTGCCTCTGCCTCCCAAGTGCTGAGATTAAAGTGTGCACCACCACTGCCCGGTTTCCTATTTATTTTGTAA